TGGAAAGATTGCTCATCTATAGCTCTCTATATGTGCCATTCACACTATGGCAGAATGAAGTAGTATCTTTGCAGTTAATGCTAAACAAAAGTATTCCATTTAAACCTTAAAACAAAAGAAACAGTTGAGGCAAAAATCCTACCATATGGATAAAATCTGGCAAAATGTGTGACGTCTTAAGACTTGTTCTGTGGCAGTTGAGAATAAATGGCAACCATATTATTTATGAGAATATTATTTAAAATAGTTCATATCTACACTTTAAAAAAAAGTTAATATTTAAGAATACAGATAAACCCTGTACATCCTCCAAAAAAGTAAATGTTTCTTTTACATTATTTTTAAAAATAGAATTACAGAGATTCCTCATAGCTACATCATCACACACATAAAAATAAAAATTCAAGGTATGTTTCCAAGTCATAGAAACTGCTGAACAAAAGATAGATTTTCTGGCATGCTATGGCTGTTTTATGCCATAATCTGCTCCTAATTTAACTCAGCTGTCTCAGGGAAGATCATTGTAATTGAAAAGTGATCCTCCGGTAGCAGAGAGCTGGGGAAAAAGCAGTACATTTCTATACCATGGAGGTGATTCGGAGAGTTTCTAAAGACATCATATAAGAGATCCTGAGTAAGTGCATATCCTAGTAAAAACGGACTTTGTATGGATCAAAGAAAAAGAAACTAAAAGTAAAAACCATCACAGTTTAAAAGCAGAATAAGGTAACTACATGTATACTCTCAAAAGAGGAAGTAACATCCAAAGAAGGCAAATTAAATAAACTATAAACTTGGGCAAGTTAAATGCAAACACTCAATGAGGCAGGCCAAAGGAGAGTCTGAAGACCAACATGTTAAAGGCATAAAAACTAATAAAAGATCTTTCAAAATACATCAGAAGAAATGATCAAAGCATAAAAGAAGCATCAAGGAAGGTAGACCGCAAAAGCAAAATGAACTATTTATATCTGTGTTCACTAGAGAAGTGTCAGGGAGATTTTATTATTTGCAGATGAACTATCTTAAACTGAATCAGCACTAAAACAAACTGATATATTAAACATTGCCAAATTGCTAAGAGCAGATGATATTTGTCCAGTGAGTTCTAGGGGAATGCATTTATGATGTTGCTAAAGAAATAATTAATGAGCAAACTTTACTGCTTAACTCAGCATCCACACAAGAGGTAGAGAAGGTATGAAATGCAATTCCCTTTTTGGAAACTACAGGAGATACAGTAAGCCTGTACAGGGAAATTGAAAGCAGCTATAATCGGTGATAGAATCAGTAGGCGTTTAGGTAATAGTAATTTGGGTAAGAGTTATGTCTTAACACTTATAGAGAAAGCAAGCTTCACAAATTTATTATAAGCTTCTGAAGGAAATGAAGGAAGAGGGTTCAAGTGATATCCCTGTGCAAAGAAAGTCTTCCAACAATTTTATCCAAATGCTTTGAGGAACCTAGGTTACGAGAGAAGGTCCGCTCATAGATTAACAATCCATCAAAAGTAGGAAATGGATAACGATATTGGTGAATTTTCACCATGGAGGGATTCTCCAGAGCATCTCAAAGAAACTTGGCAGACTACAAGTAGATTTAGGTGATTATGTTTGTTGATGATGCCAAATTACTGATACAGGTCAGTTCTAAAGCCCATAACACCATTTCTGAGTGGAAAAGAAGGTAAACAAACACTAACACACAATGCACAAAACAGGGGGGAGGACAGTTTTTCCTGTTTATACACAGTCATGGCTATGACTGAGAGCTTGGAGTTAATGGTAGAAGAGCAGAGAGCAACAGAAACAAGAAAAAAATCCCCAACATTAAGCTACTGTGTAAATCCACAGTGTGCCCAACACCTGGAATCCCGCATGCAGTTCTTACTCCATCTCAAAGAAAACTACAAAAGGCACAGTGAGGAGCAAGAATCATCAGAGGTAAGAAATTATTTTCATACCAGGAGGTATACAGAGTCTTGAGGAAGCTGAAGCCTTTAAACCCAGAAATGGGGCAGAGACTATGAGTAAGAAAAGAACTGCTTTTATTTCTCACAATGCAAGAACTAGGGGTTCCTCAGTGAATGTATTGGTTAATAAGTTTAGAACAAAATAAAAGAAGTGCAATGCCTGATGAGGCTGTGAGATTCACTACCTGAGTGCCAAAGGTGTAAGTTGGTTCAAAAAAAGCTTTGAAAAGTTTATGCCTGGGGAGGTATCCTGGAGGCTTTTACACAGGCTGAGTCAGATACAGCTGTTGAGATCTACTGACTGAGTGAGTAGCCTTGCCCTGACTCTCAAACTCCTCTGCTCCTCGTTCCCTTCCTTATGCACCCGCCACTGGGAGACAAGAGGAAGGTGGGCAAGATAAGGCTGCAGCCTGACCTGGGGAAGCTCTTCTTCAGCTCCTGAGCCTGGCTGTGATTGCAGATCCTGTGGGGTATGGCCAGGTATGTGCAGGTTACTCAGCACAGCTGAGGTGGATAGCCAAATACTGAAATGCTAAGTGAAGCTTTATGAGTTGATAGACAAACACAGCAAGTGACCCTAGATGGTGTCTAGCCGTACCCCATGATCCAATCAGTTGCTCTAGTATATAATATAATGTATATTATATAATGCGCTGTGACTAAAACTGCAACTGGTAGCTCTGTAACACTAAGAGTAATATCTAAAAATTACACTTCGTTTTAATTTCCATTTGAGTAAAATCTATGCTCAGCTGAACAAGAGCCATAAAGTCAAATTCTGATAAATGTCATTCTCAAGATTTACTGTTTGCTGTAAAAATAGTAAGTGCAAGAGATCTCCCTCCACACCCTTTTATTTTTCCATTTTAAGAAGAAACATACAGAAGCTCCAATGTATCAGGGACAGCACTGTACTGAATATTTTCATAGCACAATTTCTGAACCAGATGTCTGGCCAAAGCAAAATTCTAATCAGCTAAATCTGTATCTCACATAGGGAATAAGCAGTTATCAACACACAAAAGTTATGGTAGTTAGAAATGTTTTATAGGGCATGCCTGTTCCTTTAATTGCATCTGTATTTAAATCTGTGTTAGCATCATGCATGTTTTCTTTCCTATCCACAAACTCTTTTTTCTATATCTGTTCTCTTCTGAAGTCTATAATCAAGTTTCAATTGGATCTTAAAATGCAGAGTTGTGCTTTGGTGAAATAAAACACCAAAAGCGTAGCAGCTTTTCACGGTTTTCTTCATTTAGCCTGCCAGAGAAAATCAAATAAAAAAATAATCGGCACTGTCACTTGAAGAAAAGAAAGAAAGACAGAAAAAAGAAAGAGCAATACTTAAGATGGGCCTTAGCCAGGAGCATTTTATCCTTTATTCATCAGTGGTAAATGAGTCAGATATGAGTTGGCCAGGAAAAGAGTTGCTTTACCCAAAATCTGAGTTTCAAGTGAGTCATCTCACTCCAAACACCAATACATCCTCCAACATAACTGGCAAGGGTTTCCTGCAGAGACTCTTGCTGCCGCTCTCTTCATCTGGAGGCCTGACCATCCAAGGCTAAAGTCAACAGGATCTCTACCATCAATTCAGGGAAACAGGGTTAGAGATGCAGGCCAGAATTATCAGCCTGGCTGACCATGGTGGGAATTAAGAGAAAGTAAACTGGCTCCTGGCATAATGAAGGAACCCTTCAGGCTGCACTGTCAGCCACGGCACTTTCTGCTCTGATCCTGCCCTACCTGTCACAACCAACTTTCCCAGCCAAACACTCAATGCAAAGGCTTGCAACAGGTCTTCAGAAGGTGGCCCCCCAACTACAATGGGAGAAGGAGGGGAGCATCTACAGTGGCCTTATCAAGACGGCTTGAGAGCCTTCACATCCCTGCAGCCCTGTCGTTTGCCATAAAAGGGGCTGAAGAAGGAGCACTGCATACTTGGTCCTTAATTACAACAAACATAACAAACGTGAAAAAGCAAAGTTGGACTCATCACTACATTACTGCAGTTTGTGTTGGTTTATGCCTATGAAATGAATGGCATGTTTTCGTGAAATGAATGAAATTATACTGACATGAAACCAGTGTGTGTAATGTCGAATCAGTCCCTGGATTTATGATCCCATGCTGGATTTTCATTCATGCTCAGAGTGCAGCCAGGTCCTCTCAGGTCTCTCCACAGATCAGAGGACCCTCAAAATCAGACCTTCAGGGTGACTATTTTTGTTTCCATATTCCTCCTTACATTCAGCAG